GCCGCTCCTACATTCCATTTTCTCGAACGATCTAGCGTTATATTCAGAAGGCACTACAGTGATATAATACGCTGATGACACGCAGATTTTGGTTACTGGAAAAAAGTGCAATGCAACAGCTTGTCGCAAACATGGAGAGTACCTTTTCAATTGTATTGGACTGGTTTAACAACCACTCTATGAAAGTCAGTGCAACAAAAACACAGTTAATGGTTTTCGGGACGAAGGCTATGCTGCGTCATATGCCTCCTGTGCATGTCAAGTTCGGGTCAGCTGTCATCACTGAAAGCAGTCCTGTCAAAAACCTTGGTGTGGTGATGGACAGAAATCTCCCATTTGTACCGCACATTGATCAGCTTGTTACCTGGTCGACGGGCGCTCTGATGGCCCTGTCCCATGCCAAGCATGCACTCTCAAGAGACACCCTTGTTCGCATTGTCGGAGCTCTAGTTCTTTCCCCGATTAGATGCTGTATAGCACTGTATGGTTCTCACAGAGGCGCCCAGTTCTACCGCGTGCAAAAACTCGTGAGCTTCTGTGCGCGGGTTGTGAGCGGAAGGAGAAGGTGTGACCATATATCGGATGTTGTCAGGGATCTACGATGGCTTAGTGCTGGTCAGCTCGTCAGATATCATATGTTGTGCCTGCTCAAAAAGGTCTTACTCACGGGTCAGCCACCAGATATGGCCACGATGTTCACACGTGCTGAGCACACTCATGAAATGCGACAGGCTAACCAACTGAGGCGCCCCCGAGTGGTGAGCAACTCTGGCACTCACCGATTTAGCTAGAGAACATCGGATTTTTTTAACTGCCTGCAGCCTGACTTGCGCAATGTTCAGAGTCTAGGCCGCTTCAAGCGCCAACTTATGGAGTTTCTAATGAGTGGGGCGAATGTTGGCACATGAGTGGGTGCGTGTGTTAGTTCTATTGTGTGATGCCACAATATGAATGCAATAGTGTAATTCACCGAGATGATCCGTTGACCGATTTGTGATGTGTTAGGCTATTTTTACTAGGATTCCAATTGTCTCTTTTGTGCCCGTTTTTATCAATGATGACGTGTAGCTTTTAAAAAGCCACTGAATCGTGTGGAAAGTTACGAAACATAGGGACATGAGCTCTAAGGCTGCATCTTTATTCAATTAATTTTATTTTTATTGGTCCTATACGTTGTGGTGCAATTTCATTTTTTTCTTCCTTTCCGATTATCTTTAAAGACACCATCTATGGCTTAAAATGGTCACCAGTTTCTTTGCAAAATGTTACAATGGCCAACTTGCATTTCATTCATATATGAATTGGGTTAATTCGCCAGCCGCCAAAACATGTCTGATATGCACCCGAGAGTGAACAATGCGTAGGGAATGAAAGCAAAAATACGTTCAGTGCTTAACATTGTCTCCTTCATTCCCTACAAATTGTTCACTCTTGGGTGCGTACCAAACATGTTTGGGTGCCTGGCATATTAATGCCAATTAGGTATGAAGTGTATGCAAGTTCTCAGTTGGATTATGCTGCAGAGAAATTGTACAACATTTGAAAAGGAATGTTCCCCATTTAAATATATTGAGATAAACGTCAGATATGATGGGAAAAGTTTGCTTGTAACTATTGGTAAACTTTCCAGGTTCAAAAGCGACCCTAACTAGCAAAATTTCAAAGCTTGAAAAAGGCGCCTCATTACGCCATTGTTGATGGTGTCATGGAAAGGTTTTGTGTCGACAGCAATACCTGGCAGCATCTGGCAGCAAGAACTAAAGAATACGTAGAAACGCACGAAAGCTGACGCCATCCGGCCATTCTCGTCGCGGGCGCTGTGCTGGGCGGTCGATTAGTGAATGGCTTGTCTGGGGATTTTTTGTCTCGGTATTGGTCGTAAGAAAAGCCTTGGCGGACTGTTTGACATACGTATTGTACTGTCAACTTATCCCTGCCTGCAGTGCTGTAGTCCTGACATTGATATTATGTAATGTGCGCAGTAGTTACTAACTTGTGTAATTATAACGCAGGTGCATGCAAAAATCAAATCTGTAACGTTGCTGTGAATTGATTGCCAAAACATTGCTAATGCCGTGGCAAAGATGGTAGGGTTGAGCTACCATGCATGTTTTTCTTGCTTACGATTATTTATGTAATTACTAGTTAACCCTGATATCACCATTGTGGTGGAATAGCATTCTCGCTGATAATAGTCATTTAGCGTGGTTAAATGAGTTATTACCAGTTATTCATAAATTACAAACTGTTGTCTCTTAGGCTTCACATAAGCTTGTCAACCAATGTGGTACATTGCATAATGGCACGAGTTAACAGTGTCATCGTAACACTACCTCAATACTCTACTGTGGCATGACATACTAAACAATGGTGTAGTTTCTGTTCTGTAATCCCTGCTGCTCTAACAATAAATTCCATCGTGAAAAGATGGGTTAGGCGTGTATTCTTGTACTAACTCCGCATCTGGCATACGAGTGACCAAAAACACATGATACAAAATACAAATCCCTTTCAGCAAAGCACACAACCAATAACTGACATCATTTGCTCATAATCATTTGCTCACCCTGTTTTGGGAATCCAAAAACCATAGGTGACAAAATGCAATCATGTCTTCTGCTCCCACAGCTATGCAACATGCTACAGCCATGAGATTGCTTCATTAATACGCGCTCGGGTGGGGACCAAAATGATCCCTCCGAAGGTTTTCCCGAAATGATTTCCGGACGGCGTAGTGTAGCCACGCCAAATTTTGCATAGCTGTAGACAATTAAATAGCAAATTGTCTGACATTAAACATTTAGAAGTATCTTGTAAGATCGCTGACCTATGGTAAGTAGAAGTCAGGTCATGGTTCCAGCGAAGACACGTTCTAGAGAATCGTTCAATCCGATCAAACAACGGAGTGTTAGACGAAACCATACATCACTGAGATACTTTCTTAGGCAACACAACAACTGAATAAAAAACCAATGACCTAGGGTCAGGTATGAATATCAGACCAAGGTAAAACCAACCTGTTTTATTACTCTAGAGCTTGCTGTATGGGCTGGTTTCTGGTGCTCATTTCGAACATATTGATGGCAGGAACCGTATTATACACCTTCCATGGACTTCATATAAGTCAGAACAGGTCACTGACCTAAAATGACCCGGGCCAACACTTTGATTTAGGAACATACTGCCTAGCGTAATCTTTGTCGCTTATCCAAATGCATAACTCAAAACCCTCTTGCATCGTTCTGATCATCATGACTTTAAAAGGTCACACAAGTTCACTTACCTTAACTGAGCGTGTAATATTTTGCTTAGAACAGTTGCCTGGGTTCTAGGGGCCCTTTGGAGACTAATATGGAATCTAACCTTGTTTGATCTTAACTGACCCGGAGGTCATGACCAAAGAACTTTAAACTTTGACCTAAGTGGGTTCACGTACAGTTCAACACACGCTGTGAATTTTGTCTCTCTATCGCTCTTCATTCCAGGGATCTCAGGGGGTTAAATTGATTCCCTTCACCCGAGCAAAGGTTGACCAACCGGTGACCCTGGCGCGTGTTAAAAGGTCACATAAGTTCACTAACCTTAACTGAGCGTGTGATATTTTGCTTAGAGCAGTTGCCTGGGTTCTAGGGGCCCTTTGGAGACTAATATGGAATTTAACCTTGTTTGAGCTCATCTGACCCGGAGGTCATGACCAAAGAACTTTAAACTTTGGCCTAAGTGAGTTCACGTACAGTTCAACACCCTCTGTGAATTTCGTCTCTCTATCACTCTTCATTCCGGGGATCTCAGGGGGTCAGATTGATCCCCTTGACCCGAGCTAAGGTTGACCAACCGGTGACCCTGGCGCGTGTTTAAAAGGTCAAACAAGGTCACTGACCCTTACTGAACGCGTGAAATTTTTCTTAAAACAGCTGCCTAGGTTCTAGGGCTCTAAAATCACTGCAATATTCCCCCAATGTTACAATGCCTGGCTAACCCATAAAACCGTGCAGGGCACCTTACTCCGGTATACAAGGCGCTAACTGAGCTGTCTGTAAAAAATACGTCAGTAAAACAAGAGAAAACGTCAGTACGAGATAAACGTAGATTTGCCATCGCGTCTTGTCTTTTTTATAACATTCGGAAGCGTGCCGTTTTTCGGTACTGCACTATTTTTGCAGAGAGTGGCGGTGGCATTTTCTTAAATGCCCAGTTGACCACAAGTGCCCGGCAACACTGAAAGTGCTCGCCCTTAAGCTCGCGACGCGCATGCACAGCGAATTTTTTTTAACAGCCAACCACCTTCCGTGGATTGTACCATGCGTGCCGCATCATCGCTCGTGTTAAGGTATTAGCAGCCATGCTTTCTGGACCATAAGCAGAAAACAGCCTGAAATATAACGACGATCGTATAACGTTTATATGACGTCATCAATCCCAAGGTGACTTTCAAATAGTCTCCCAATAAACCTTTTCGCACATTTGCAGGCCGTTAACTCAGGAACCAGAGGGCTTTATGTCTTTTTGGGTCTTCACTAGCCTTTCAGCATCAGTCACAGCATCAAAGGCATCCGTCATCGACCGCTTCCCTGCGAATCATCGGTTGGTGTTTGATTCTGCGGCCGTGCCGCTCCGACGCCGACCTGAAGGTGGTGCAACTCAGAGCGTCAGCCTGTCGCCTGTACCAGAGAACATCTTGACCTGCTAACCCTTCTGCTTGCAACCTGAACCTGTCTCAATGCGTGCTCCATTCCGCCGTCCCGCCCTCTCGGAAGCGGTGCCGGGCCGAGCCTGCTCACGTGGAATCGGTGGACCGGCGGCCGGTTGTGGTCGGGTCGTCTGGCTGGACGGGGGCGTCCGCTGCACAGGGCGTTGTGTCAGGTGGGGCAGCGCCGCCGGCGGCAGCGTGACGGCCAACCGCGTCGCGCTCCCACGGCCGAATAAAAGGCCGGCCGCACAGACACCAGGCACCAGTCACTCGCCAGCAGTGGTGTCCATCTCACAGCGCCACGGCAAACATGAAGCTGGTGAGTACGGTCCGGAAGATCGGTGCTTCACATGTAGGCTGCCTTTCGTATCCCAGCGGCGTCCGTACTGTCAGTTAGGGCGCCACAGAAGGTCTTGCAAATAGGGTTGTTGCTCATCTTCCATAAATTCCGCGTCCGGCAAAGTCAAAGTGTGTTTAGTTTTTGTGCTTGGGCGGTTTTTTTTCATTCCGTTTCAATGAGCCTAAACAGGTAGGCATGCAGCCATTTCGGTGAACTGCAATATACCACACTGGTCAGAAAAGATCAGAACAGAAGTGCGGACGTAGGCTATAATTTCAACAGCCCCTGGATCAGTGCGAAAGGCCACGTCGCCGGTCGTCGCTGTCAGGTGCTGCACATATTCCACAACTATCCCTTGATCCCTGCATCCACAGCCGAGACTGATGGCAGAAACTGACCTGACAAAGGCGCTGAACTAAGTCTTATCACGGCAAAAAGATGCGTCGCGATTTCAGCCTCTTCTTGCAAAGCTGGGTCGGCACCCCCTCTGACGTCAGCTGGGTGTGTTTCCAGTTGATCGTAGCTTCGCTGGCGGCTCTGGCCTGCGCTGATGGCCCGCGGCCGCAGCCGGCACCCGCCTCCTACCAGCGGCCAGCGGCCCCGGCACCAGCCTCCTACCAGCAGCCGGGGGCACCGGCCTCTTACCAGCAGCCGGCCGGCTACGGCCAGCCCTTCGCCATCCTCAGCGAGGAGAACGTCCACCCGGGCGACGGCACCTACCAGTTCAGCTTCCAGACCGAGAACGGCATCTCACGTAACGAGAACGGCAGCCCCAAGGACGGCTACGGCAAATCCGAGTACGGCCAGCCCACCGGCGGCTACGTCCAGCAGGGCGGCTGGAGCTACAGCGACGGCTACGGCAACCCCATCCAGGTGACGTTTGTTGCCGACGAAAACGGCTACCAGCCGTCTAGCAACATCCTGCCGACGCCGGTGCCGACCGAGTACCCGCTGCCGATCGTGCCACAGGTGTACCAGGGAGAGCAGAGCTATGGCTCTGCCCCAGCTCCCGCTTCCGCCCGCTACAGCGCCCCGGCTCCTGCTGCCCGGCAGTACAAACGCTCCCGCTCCTGCGGCTCCTGCTCCTGCTCCTCGGCAGTACAATGCTCCCGCTCCTGCTCCTGCTCCCAGGCAGTACAGCGCTCCCGCTCCTGCCCCCAGGCAGTACAATGCTCCTGCTCCGGCTTCTGCTCGTTATAGTGCTCCTGCCCCCGCCCGCAACTACTAAAACGGATGGACGGCGAGCGCTGGGAATAGTGCATATGCGTGTGCGAGGCTGTGAAGCTGCATGAGTGATATATTTATCCGTCTGTATTGCTAAGAAATACAGGCGCATGTAGAATAAACTGTCTTTACCGCACTCTTATGATCATTTACACCTGAGTCAAACGATGCCAACGATGTAAATGGCCAGCAGCATGATGGACCGACCAGGCAACCTTTCAACTGAATAGCTCACATCCCCACCAGATCCCTGACCTGGCTGCCAGGAGCCCACAGAAGAGGGATCGACAACGCCGGGCTGCTAGTCAGGTCGCACGGCACGGTCCGGGGTGCCGTGAAACGTCCCTGATCTTTTGAAAGGTAGCGCTCAAATCGTCGTTTTGGGAGCGCTGCTTCATTGGATTGTTTTTCTTGTGATGAGAATATCTGCACTGCAATTGAAACGTTTCAGATCCAGGAGCTGTCCACACCAATGCACACAAAGCTTGTGTTAGTAGTTACTCAGCAGCCCAAGTGAAAGCGGCTCCGGTTTATAGTCAACTACTGTGATGATTCTTGAGTGGGACAAAAACTACCTCCGCACTTGGCGGGGGAGGGACTTTGGAACATCCCAATGACATGACCGATCCTAAATCGGGATTCACCTAACCAACCCTGAAATTTCGGTTTCCCCTTGGACTTATGCCAATTTCACTTCACGGTCGGACGAAAAGCCACAAAACATGTAGCGAGTATCCTGTGAAATGTGGTGAGGCTAGGGCGGAGTTAGAACACTCGAGAGTGAGGGGTGTTGGGGTAGGATGGGCTGGGTTGCGGTATCTCTAATTTGAAGAGGGCAGCTTAAGCGGGAAAGGTGGCGCTGCAACGGAATGCGCGCTGCACAACAATGGTTTTGTGCCAAAGGTTCCATTTTTCTATCACTGCTTTTTAGGGGATTTCTTGGCCGTTGCGAGAAGATTGGAGGGGATATGGAGTTCTGTGACGCTTTGTTTGGACACGCGAATGCTCGTGAGGTGGACAAGCGACTCCGCCTGAGCTGAACACGCGACTAAGTTGGACACGCGACGGCTCCTGTGCTTGGGTTATTGCTACTCCAGCGATGGGCTCAGCGACACTGGACTGAGCTACGCACACGTTTCGTTCTGGCACACTTGATGTGATGCGTTTCACCGTTTCCGCGATGGCCATTACCTTTCAAAGTATATTTCTAATTCATATGTGCGTTCCGTTTACGTAGCCATCTCCTTCAAAACAGGTATCTGCATACAGGCCTGTGTGAAAATACAGTTCAGCATACGACGTAGCATACTGCGATTAACTGCATACTGCATACTGCATTCTGCGATTAAGATCCGAAAGCTGCAGTCAGCAGGCAATGTGAAGCGTAAACGAAGGTCTAGATATCAGTTGCTAACTATTCATTTTCGTAAATATTTTGGGACAATACAAATTAGCTCAATGAGATATTGATAAATATACCACGTTGTTTTGCTGCTTTGCAAAGTACGCATGACAGTGACACGGCAGCATTTTTGAACAGATTATTCTTACTATCCTTGCTTGTACGCACCATAACAAACGACGTAAATTTAGTTTACGCTGTTGAATGATACGTCCCTCTAAGGACAGCAGACACAACATATAAGATCCCGAGTTTGATATTTCAATACGAATATGGCATCGCGGCTGTTGTGGCGCATGCGAATGTTGTGAATAGAAAGAGTGAAACTGTCGAGTTCTAGTGGCTGTATGAGATAAAATATGTCTGCATTTCCCTAAAACTATAATATTGGTGTCCATGTACAATGTAATTTGCAAAGTGAACTTTCCACAACTGGAAATATCCAGGTTTCTTTACGCCTTGCCGGTGTAAAGTCATGAGCTTATGCAGGCTATTTAAGAAGACCACGCATTGGTCTTACCAAGCTGAGGTACAGGCGTGAAATCTCCGTACCTTTTATTTATATGCTGCTTTAAATTTCAAACTCCCCCTTTGTAATTTGCATTCAAAAATCGGCACCGCAGTGCTAATTAAGATGGCAATGAAACGACATCTTGTTGGCACATTTTATCTGCATGTGAAAAATTACAGAATACCCGAAGAACACCGATTGTACTTAACGTCAGATAAGATTTGTTGCACAGTCGGTTTTTGCGAGTCAGATCGCTAGCTGGCCAGGGCGGACCGGGATACGGGAGGACATTTTGCAAGAAAGCGACGTTTCTGAACCGTACCCACCGTTTTACGGTCGGAGCCAGGCGGACCTCTGCAGCTGGAGAATGCGGACATCACATACCGTGTACCCTGACAGGGTGTCAGGCCGTGTGACACCGATCAGAAGAGCTCAGAGCCTTTCCGCCCGTTCGGTCGAGTGTTACATGCAGCTCGAACACTGCACGGCTTAGGGTTCGGGCTCAAATAAGTATACTCTCACACGATGGCCTTCCAATCGAGTACGAATACTAGTGGAAAACAAATTTGCAGTTGCCACCAGGGACAGAGGGCAGTTGACGAGAACCGACCGCACCGTTATCTTCAATATCTTGTTGACCTTCCATTCATTGACCATTTTCTCGTACCTTAACCGAGCATTGCTGCGCAGTCAAAATTTATCACATCATCGCGTGGTTCTTTGTCCATCCGCCGTTGTTCGTGCGGTGGCTAACGAATCAATATAGGGGATATTTACATACCATGACACACCGCGACCACAAACGATGGCGTTAGCGGACGTGAGCCGGCGACCACAGCCGTGCCAGTGAGTGCTCATGTCACGCCGTGCTATGCCCCTTCTTCTCGAGAGCAGGAAAACTTGCAAGTGCCGGCAACTGTTCATTGGCAATTGTTAAGTTTTCATCACACTCGGGTCTGTCTGCCATTGCGCTACGTTTTCCGAACACAGTGACATCTAGGTGTCTACCCCGCCCGTGAGCGATGAACACGACAGGGGAAGCTGAAGAGCGCGTACTGCCGCCACGCAGCGGGATGGCAGGTCAGCGTGCATTGTACGTAGCGGATGACGGTCGACCTCACTGGGATTAAGAGCCAAGTCAAAACTCAAGGCCGGCATGTTAAGGGCGCGCACAACGTCAGCCTGTTCATGGCATCATCAAATACACGCAATTGGCCATACCCACGCAGTTCGCGTAATTGGCGCGTTTAGTATCATAGCGCTGTTCCTCTCTATTTAGTCTTCCCATCCGGCTAGAAGAGGCGAAGAATTGACCAAATGTGTCATCGTATTCCATCATGAGCTGCTTGTAGACACTGTTGGGCTACGTGTGGCTACGTGTGTTTTTAGAACATGCACAGACAACGACTCACTTTTGCATAATCGCTTACAACATAGTTCAACATCTTCACCAGCCTCTCAATATCAGTCACAACATCAAAGGTATCCGTCATCGGTCGCTTCCCTTGCGAATCATCGGCTGGTGCTCGATTCCGCGGCCGTGCCGCTCCGACGCCGACCTGAAGGTGGTGCAACTCAGAGCGTCAGCCTGTCGCCTGTACCAGAGAACATTTTGACCTGCTAACCGTTCTGCTTGTAACCTGAACCTGTTTCTGTGCGTGCTCCGTGCTTCCGGTCCCCGCCCTCTCGGAAGCGGCCCTGGGTCGGGCCGGCTCACGTGAGATCGGTGGACCGGCGGCCGGTCGTGGTCAGGTCGTCTGGCTGGACGGGGGCGTCCACTGCAGAGGGCGTTGCGTCAGGTGGGGCAGCGCCGCCGGCGGCAGCGTGACGGCCAACCGCGTCGCCCTCCCACGGCAGAATAAAAACCCGGCCGCACAGACACCAGGCACCAGTCACTCGCCAGCAGTGGTGTCCATCTCACAACGCCACGGCAAAAAATGAAGCTGGTGAGTACGGCCAGAAAGGTCTGTGCTACACATGGGAGCTGCCTCTCGTATTCCAGCGGCGCCTGTACTGTCAGTGAGGAGGCCAGGGAAGGTCTTGTAGATAGGGTCGTTGATAATCTCTCATTTTTTTCCGTGTCCGGCAAAGTCAGAGTGTGTTTAGTAAACGGGTAGGTATGTAGCCATTTCGGTGAACCGCATTATTAGCATGACGTGCTTAAATTGGTCACCTTAAAAGTAAGAACGTAATTTGACACCCTAAAACTTTTTGTAAGATACCCCATTGGCCAGAAGAAATCAGAACAGAAGTGTTGACGTAGGCTACAATTTCAACAGTCCCTGAATAAGTGTGAAAGGCCACGTCGCCAGTCAATGCGCTGTCACATGATGCACGTATTCAACAGCTAACCCTTCCCCACCCTGCATCCACGCCCAGAGACTGATGACAGAGGATGGCCAGGCAAAGGTGCCTGCACCGCCGGGTCGGCACCTCCTCTGACGTCAGCTGGGTGTGTTTCCAGCTGATCGTAGCCTCGCTAGCGGCTCTTGCCTGCGCTGATGGCCCGCGGCCCGCAGCCGGCGCCCGCCTCCTACCAGCGGCCGGCGGCCCCGGCACCAGCCTCCTACCAGCAGCCGGCGGCACAGGCCTCCTACCAACAGCCGGCCGGCTACGGCCAGCCCTTCGCCATCCTCAGCGAGGAGAACGTCCACCCGGGCGACGGTACCTACCAGTTCAGCTTCCAGACCGAGAACGGCATCTCACGTAACGAGAACGGCAGCCCCAAGGACGGCTACGGCAAATCCGAGTACGGCCAGCCCACCGGCGGCTACGTCCAGCAGGGTGGCTGGAGCTACAGCGACGACTACGGCCACCCCGTCCAGGTGACGTTTGTTGCCGACGAGAACGGCTACCAGCCGTCCAGCGACATCCTGCCGACGCCGGTGCCGACCGAGTACCCGCTGCCGATCGTGCCGCAGGTGTACCAGGGCGAGCAGAGCTATGACTCTGCCCCAGCCCCCGCTCCCGCCCGCTACAGCGCCCCGGCTCCTGCTGCCCGGCAGTACAACGCTCCCGCTCCTGCGGGTCCTGCGCCTGCTCCCCCGGCAGTACAAACGCTCCTGCTCCTGCTCCCAGGCAGTACAGCGCTCCCGCTCCTTCGGCTCCTGCTCCTCGGCAGTACAACGCTCCCGCTCCTGCTCCTGCTCCCAGGCAGTACAGCGCTTCCGCTCCTGCTCCAAGACAGTACAATGCTCCTGCTCCGGCTCCTGCTCGTTACAGTGCTCCTGCCCTCGCTCGCAACTACTAAGGCGGATGGACGGCGAGCGCTAGGCATAGCGTTTACGAGTGTGCGAGGCTGTGAGGCTGCGTGAGTGAAATATTTATGCGCCCGTGTTGCTGAGTAATACGGGCGCATGTAAAATAAACTGTTTTCACCGCTCTGTTATGATCATCTGTACCTGAGACAATCGATGCCAACGATGTAAATGGCCAACAACATGATGGACCGACGAGGCAACATTTCAACTGAATAGTTCACATCCCCAAAAGATCCCTGATCTGGTTGCCAGGAACCCACAGATGATGGATCGACAACGCCGGACTGCTAGTCACGTCGCATGGCTGGCTCCGTTGCACAGGTTGTACTTGCAAGGCGCTTGTCCCGGCGGAGTCGGGTGTCAGAATGGTAGGCCCCGCAGCACGGGTTGTACTTCCAGAGCGCCTGTCCGGCGGTGTCGGGCGTCAGAATGGGAGGCCCCGCCGCACATGTTGTACTTGAAGGGCACCTGTCCGGCGGAGTCGGGTGTCAGAATGGTAGGCCCCGCCGCACACGTTGTACTTGAAGGGCACCTGTCCGGCGAAGTCGGGCGAGAGGATCAGTGCGTTGACGGAGAAGTTCACGGTAATGTTGATCTGGCCGCTCGCCTTCTCTAGCGACGCCTTCTCTAGCAAGTCGCTTAAGAGGCGCCACTTGAACGTGCAGCAGCGTCTGGGTCGAGAGGTTTTTGATGCAGATCTTGCGCTTTAGATACTTTCAAGCGCGTTGGCTTTTTGTCTCTGTGGAGCGTTTCCGTCTTGGGGAAGATGTTAAAGTAGGCCTGCAAATGAACTGGCCCGTCTTGGATGAGATCGGCGGAACCACTTCCCAGGACCTGCCAAAAGCCCCGCACGTGGCCCCACGCCGTACACTGCAGCGGGGTCTTAAGCTGTCAGCAAACAGATCAATACACTTCTAATTTATCACACTGCAAGTTCTTCAGACGCGGGAGACGCCTGTAGGCCTCCGTTGGCTTCTGTCTGGCGCTAAGGCCGTCAGTCACCGATGTCAGAAGTGGTAGGATTTGGTCGCCGGTTGACAAGGTTGACGTCTTTATACCCAATCTTTTTTAGCATAGCTAATGATGCGGCAAACTTTTTGCTGCAAACATTGCAAGCTCATGCCTGTTTATTGCTGGACGTTCTGTGGCACCGTGTCGACACCTGTTGCGTGCACCAGGCTGGTGTTTAACCTGTCGCCTTTCTGTACTCCAGCTGACGAGTCCCGGGCCTGAAAGCTTTCCCATCTTTCCAAGTCTTCCTCATGGGACAATGTAAGAGCATGGCAAAGAGGGCATGTACCACCTGCCCAAAGGCAAAGAGGAGGCTTGAAACCCCGGGCCGTGGTCGCAACAAATTTGTAAGTGAAGGTACAGGAGGGAGTAACTGTGACCACACGCATGCAAACGTTCGTGGAAATCACGGAAGTCAAGTTGATCTATGAAGTTGTACTAAGTTGTACGTGCCAGAGCCTGACTACTGCAGCGACTGGACCGCACCGGACTGGCGCTCCGCGTGCCTCTGCCATTGTTCACCATGCTCTTGTCGGCGTGCTTGCACCGTTGTCCTTCGTGTTCTTGGCCACGTGCCTGCGCCGTTGTCCGTGGAGTTATTGGCCACGTGCTCCATGCCGGTGCTCTTCCACCTTCACTCATCAAGGCCGACCGAGCGCACGTTCAGCCCCTGTGCGATATGCTGTACCGCTAGGCAGCGCTCCTCGTCCGTGCCCCTACGCCAAGCCGGGGACAAAGGATATCCCAGTATTTCCGCCAAGCCCCTTAGCTATCATTACTGAGGGAAAGCACCGTTCCTATCCAAATAGTGGAGTCTAATTCAACCAATGTCCCACACAAACTAAAATCCTATCCAACCTGTTGATATTTGCCGAGGCAGATATGCTTCGAGCACGACTACAGCGCGGCGACAAGCAGGTTAACCCGCAGTGGCCATCCAATCAGCAGGCACATCGCAACTAAAATATATTTTAGTCTTGGGCAACACGAGTAGTTTCATTCTTATATAAGAACGATAAGGTGAAATCAATACAGATTAAGTATGCATGCCCATACCGATGCACAGCGTTCTAGAATCACCGACTGTGCGTGTTAAAGAGCACCCTATGAGGCGGCATTTTTCATTCATTCTCCCCATACTTAATGTGAATTTTTCACTCCTTCCTGCTATCGTCTAACCACACATACCAAACCCATACTTCCCTTTCAGAGGTTCCAAGACGTCATCCAAAACCGAGCTCACTTGAAGCCATCAAGCAAAAACAAGGCTAAACAGAACCCGGACACCTATGGCTATATCCTGCCTCACCTACATTTGACTTATGCCTATGCATTTACAAAGCAAGGGCACCAAGTACCTTCAATCCCGAAAGCCTCAGTGACTCCAGCTGCTTGCTTGCGTCAAGTTTGGTTTATTGGTAAAATTCATCACAATCATCAGCTCTGTGCCAAATGCAAGGTTTACATGCATCCCCAATTATTTGGGTCACACTACACAGACAACGCAGCAAAGAAAAGCTTAATACAAACACCACCAAAGCGTGGTAGATAATTTTACTCCACGTATTTCTTGTACCCGAAGAAACTTGACGACTCAATTACTACTTAATGAAGTATAAAGCTGAATATCGAAATTTGAGCACTCGTTTTCACGGACTTTGGATCAAGCTGATTGATGACCAAAACTGGCCCAACAACTCTACGTCTCTATCTTTATTCAATTACTGTTGCTTTTCTTGGTCTCAGACGGTTGTGATACAACTTCACTTTTTCTTCCTTTCCGATTATCTTTATAAACACCATCTATGGCTTCAAATGTTGACCATTTTCTCTGCAAAATACTCAGTCTGCAAGCTGGCATTTAATTTGTACATGAATTGGATTAATTTCTAAGCCGCCCAAACATGTTTGATATGCACCCGAGAGTGAATAATGCGTGGGAAATTAAGATGAAAAGCAAGTTTCTTGCTTCACATTGTCTCCTTCATTCCCTACAGATTGTTCAGTCTTGGGTACAATCCCCTTCATGTTTGGGCGGCTGGCAAATTAATTCAATTTAGATATAAGTGTATGCAAGGTTTTGGTCGGAACATTTTGCAGAGAAATTGCAAAACACTTGAAAGGGAATGTTCCACATTCGAACATATTGAGATAAGCATCTGATACGACGGGAAAAGTTTACTTGTAACCATTGGTAAGCTTTCAATGTTTAAAAGCAGCCCTAAAAAGCAAAATTTCAAAGTTTGAAAAAGGTGCCTCGTTACGTCATTGTTTGATGGCGTCATGGAGTTGGTTTGTGACGACAGCAATACCTGGCAGCATCTGGCAGCAAGACCTACAGAATACATCGAAACGCACGAAAGCTGACGCCAACCGGCCATTCTCGCCGCGGGCGCTGTGTTGCGTGGCTGATTAATGGACGGCTTGTTTGTGTATTCTTTGTCTTGACATTGGTCGTAAGAGAAGCCTTGGTGGGCTGTTTGACATACATATTGTATTGTAGACTTATCCTTACCTGCAGTGCTGTAATCCTGGCAATAATATCATGCGATGTGCACGGTAGTTACTTACTTGTGAAATTGTAACGCAGTTGCATGCAAAAATCAGTGAATCTGTGCTCGTTGCTGTGAATTGATTGCCAAAACATTGTTAATGTCATGGTGAAGGTAGTAGGGTTGAGCTACCATGAATGTTTTTCTTGCTTAGGATAATTCATGCAATTACTAGTTAACCCTGATATAACCGTTGTGGTGGAACAGCATTCTTGCTGATGATAGTCATTTAGAGTTGTTAGATCAGTTAATACCAGTCAGTCATAACTTATAACCTGTTATCTCATAGGCTTGACATAGAGTCGCTAACCAATGTGGTACAGTGCATAATGGCACGGGTCAACAGTGCCATCGTGGCACTACCTCAGTGCTGCACTGTGGCATGACATAATGAGCAATGACATAGTTGTTGTGCTGTCATCCCTGCTGCTTTCACAATAAATTCCATCGTGAAAAGATGGGCCAGACGTGTATTCCTGTATTACCCTCCGCATCTGACATATGACTGGCCAAAACCACATGATACAAAATACAAATCCCTTTCAGCAAAGCACACAACCAATACGTGACATCACTTGCTCAGCCTGTTTTGGGAATCCAAAAACATGGGTGACAAAAATGCAATCATGTCTCCTGCTTCCACAGTCATGCAACATGCAGCCATCAGGCTGCTTCACTTAACACACGCTCGGGTGGGGTTCAAATTGACTCCTCCGAAGGTTTTCCCAAAGTGATTTTCGAACGGCGCGGCGTAGCCGCGCCAAATTTTGCAAAGCTGTATACAATTGGATAGCGGATTGTCGGACAACAAACATTTAGATGCACCTTGTAAGGTCGCTGACCAATGGCAGGTCAAAATCAGGTCATGGTTTCGGCGAAGGCACGTTCTAGGGAATCGTTCAATCTGATCAAGCAACGGAGTGTTTAGACAAAGCCATACATCTCTGAGATACCTTTTTAAGCAACACAACATTTGAATAAACAAATAGCATTAACCTAGGGTCAGGTATGAAGGTCAGACCAAGGTCAAAATCAGCCTAATTTGTTTCTCTCAGGCTTGTTCTATGGGGTGGTTTCTGGTGCTCATTTCGAACATATTGGTGAGAGGAACCGCATTGTACGTCTTCCATGGACTTATTATAGGACAGA